AGTACACTCACACATGCCAGTTACTGCAAATAGGGCTCCCAGACTTAAAGAGGAACCCAGTCTGGAAAGTACCTGGGTACCCAGCAATTTAACTACAGATACGATACAACTGCTGACACAAATTGATTAAAGTCTCTCCTAGAAGGTATGGTGAAGTCTACCTCTTGGAAAGATAGCCTGTTCCAGTAACTGCCTACACTGAACAGAAACACTCTGTCGTATTTTGATGTCTTTACAGAGAATACTCATATTCCCACATTATATTTGTTTTTCTCCCTACAAGTGTCAAGGAAACAAGTTTTTCTTTGAATCTAACAGGCCTGTCTCTGTTGAACTGGTCTTTCATAAATGATAATGCAACTGTAAATATTCTGTATGAGGTTTCTCCTGCCTCCTAGTAGTCTCACTGCATTCAGACTTCCTTATCTCTGTTGAAAATACCTTTCCTGGTAGCTCGTATGAAAAAAATTTGCCTTTTTCACAGCCTTATGATGCTGCAGTTGATGGTTCTGTTGTCCTCTCTTGAAAGACGTGTGGCCTCCTTTTAACACACTGTGTGCTCACAAGAGTCTGTGTCCAAAGAGCATCTCCTCAACTGTCATTAAACAGAAGGGTGGGAAATATATGATCATATGCAACAGCATCTTTCAGAAACATCCTAACCTATGACACCCAGAATTGTACTTTGCTATTTATCCTAATCTTTGTAGGGTGCCAGCGACTAAGCCTTCGATCTAAACATCTGTCAACTACCCGAAGTTGCAAACTTTGCAGCTTGGAACGTGATCCGATTCCAACATCAAGTCAATTATCAACTGCAAGATAATGCTGTGCCGATTCAAATAAACTGCTTATAAGTCACTAATACAGATGGCAAAAGCTTAGGGAACTGCGGTGATTCTTTCCCGTGCTTAATGAAAAGTATAGCTAAGTCAGCAGGCAAAAATAGGTCTATCAGACCTCAACTTTTCAAACGTCTTATCAGTCCAGTCAATTCTTCTACTCCAGTTTTTAAGTTAAGCACTTGAAAATCTCTTCCAGAATGAAGTGTGACTTCCAAATAAGTATGTTTTCTTTGCTGTATGCTACACATTAGTCCAGAAGGCACACTGAGATAAGAGCATTAAAAGGAGATATTTAATAGAAGGGGAAGCCACGTGTAGACCAGGACAGAAATTTCATCCATAGCGATAAATCTTTTAACACTCTCCTCACAGGGAAAATTTGGAATCAACACATAATTTTACAAGAATAACTTCTTTTATTAAGAGGAATATTTTTTTTAAAAATCCAGTAGTTTGCTCAACTTACGGCTCCCTAACTTCTGCAAAACTCAGCTCGTGGTCTAGTCGGCACCGTTCACCTCCTGGCACACATTCGGGGTGGTGCTGAGCTCCATTGTATGACCAGGAGACACCATTCCTCACCCAGCCCGTGTGGGGCAGCATTTCACACCAGCCCCAGGGGTCTGGGATGCAGACACGGCTCAGCTCCTTCCACAGCTCCTGACCCTCAGCAGTGATCTCTGCAGGAGCGTCTCCCAGTCCCTGCAGCTCGAGGTCTTTTCTAGTACAAGGACGAGGACAGAAAAACCATCCTTCTCCCTCAGCCCTCATGCTTGAGCACAAGCAAGCGCAATAGTCCTCGGGGCGTTATCTCTGCAATAAGGAATAGATTCTGGCTGGCTGAACACGATGGTACATCTACACCAAGGGTCTCTCTGCTGCTACAAAAATGAGAATCTGGTCCTACTCGTAAGTCAGAGGTGTCTTTATATAAAGTGGTTATGCAAAGACACGCACACTACTTTTCTCTCGTGTTACTCAGTACCTTAAAATTTTAAACAGAAAAGAATTACAGGGAGAGAAAAATCAAAACAGAATTCTATCTGCTTAAAAGGAAGGACCATTCAAGTTTTATTAACTGAAAATAGAAAGAATAGAGGAGAACAGGGAAAATTGAGTCTTCTGTTGCCTCCAGCTCTGGATATCCTGTAACCCTAATCCAAACTGAGAAAAGACAAAAGTTACTCCCTTCCTAAAAAAAGTCACAAATAAACTACATTAAATAAAGTCCTAACAAGCTCAGATGTTTGTGCAACTGACAACTGTTTTGTAAACACAGGGTTTTTTATGGTACATTTTGCAACAAAACGCTAGCTTCTGCTGACAGTAATGTGCCTCTTCAAGTTTGTTTTAGTCTATCTAAAGAAACAGAACTTTTACTATGGGCTTATCCTGGGGTCATTTATTACTCCATGTCAGATCCAGAATGTTTCCTATTGACAAGATAGAATGTTTCCTATTGACAAGAGCACAGGCTCCAACCTCAACTCCAAACCAACCCTGGAATGGTTATCAACTGCCAGTTACATCCAGATGGGTTAGTTACCATGTTTCTGCTGAGGTAACAGCAAGTAAAATCGTGTAAAAGGCTGGAATATTCTGAGATTTCACAGTTACATACACGTGGTACAAGGGTGGGGGCCGCTCAAAACAAGGACAATTTAAACCTTGCACGAAGAAGAAAGATCATGTGCTTTTTACAATCTTCAATCATCACAAAAACAACGTAATACCCCTTGCAAACGCTGTTAAACAGTGAGTGGGAAAGATCCTTGTTTTGATTACATTAAAAAAGCTGTTTGCATAAGGTGTGTAGCTGACTGAGAACAGTTAAACAAAACAAAACCAAAAAAAAAGAGGAAGGTTTTACACTGAATGTTGAAATTTGGTTCTGCTAGCCTCAAATGTAAAACAGAAAGAAAAGCAGAATTAAACATTTGCTTTTAAAGGGCAGGAATAAGGAACTCTGGTGTCAAACCAGGTAGTTAACGCGAGTCAGCCTTGCACAAGTCACTCACCATGGAAAGGAGCAAGCTACCCAAATTCAAGTTTTCTCTCCTGAGAGCTGCCAACACCTTAGAAAGCCGGCACAGCCTATTCAGCAAAAATGGTGGGATGGTTACGTCTGGCCACTCCTCTGCATGTCCAGGAATAACATCAATATGCTCCAGAAAGACTGGCAAGAAGGCTGTCATGGTTGCCCAGGAAATATATCCAGCAATAAAAGCAGCCTTGTATTACACAGGTGATTCAAGATGACAGATTGGTACAAACATTTTGTCAGGAAACAAATGATTAGCATAAAAACTAAGATTTTTTCCAAGTTTTACAGAACCAAGTCTGGAACGTTTCAGGAACTAGAGGCACCTTAAACATCAGAATCCCCCTAATTAGGTCTCATAAAGGGAAAGCAAACACACAAAATCGGTGCTAAACTGATTGTATAGTGGTATATGACACAAATTAGGCTATCACCCCCCCCAAATTAGAGTTAGATGCCCAGCACCATGCAGGAGGCAGCCCTGCAAGAGCAACCTCTACGATTCCCTAATTACAGGGGCAACCAACGTTTACAGGGAAAGGGAGTCGGGTGGAAGGCATGGGGTGAAGGTTTTCCTGCTTCTCCTGCCAGAGAAAGTGGCAAAGCCAGCACTTCTCTGTCAGCCTGAGCATCACTTGGCCAGGCTTGGTTGTGGCTCCTCCATTTCTCAGCTCACATCTGCTTTTCTCTGCTTGATTTAATAGGCTTAGTTCTTACAGGTGCTTACTCGGTTTGTCAAGTCCATTTGCAGCTGCTTTAAAAGCCAATGCATATGCAAAGCCTTTCTAATACACCTGTGTACAGAGCTGCTCTGCCTCCTAAAGAGATCTTTGCACATGCAAAGGGACAGGGGACTCACTTCAGCCTCCCTTCCCAAAACGCTCGGTTTCGGCTGGAACCAGCCTTGGGCAGCCCCCACACGCCTCGCAATGGGCGCTGCCAGCTCACAAACTCATTATTCCAGTGGCTACTCATGCATGAAATAGCCGAAACTAGCTGATCCCATGTGCATTTCTATCTAGAACAGAATACTTCTGAAATAACGTGTTTATCATCTCATTCATCTCCAGGAAAGTATGTAAAACCAGAGATCGTTAAATTAGTAGGTGCACTATAAATTTCTGTAGTCACGGAGCCTGGTATGAAGAAGTGCTGGGTACCTTTGACTCCCACATGGATTGCAACAGCTTTCACATATAAAGGCTAAAGGATTAGATCGTAAGAAACCCTCAGTTTTGATTCTAAACTTCAGAGAAATGTTTAACATAAAAACTGCATAGAAGTCTACTTTTCACTGTTTAAATAATCTGCCAGAGAGACAGAGAAAATAAATTTAAAGCCATCTCAGACAGTCAATGCCTTAATATTCTTTACATCAAGTAGCTTTTTTTCTTAAAAAACAAGAAAAAAAAAGAAGCAGTCATAGGAAGTTTAAGTTCTGACCAGAGTTTAAATCTTGGCACAGACAGTAATTCAAACCGACAGGCAGATATGTGGGTTTCCTGATCTCATTTATGCTGTAGGAATGAAGCAGCCACACACTTTCTAGTTACAGGGAACAGTGGGGTGGTTTTTTACCCTCTTGGGAAGGGAAAGAAAAAAAAAGAAAAAAAAGGGGGGAGGGGAAGGGGGAGAGAATTCTGAAAAAGAACAACTGTTGAGCAAACAAAACACCCAAATGCTCACAGCTGACAGAATTATTCTTGCACGACTAAGAGAGCAAACTGTTTTCAAGAGGCAAAAGTGGCAAGGACAATAACCAAAGGAAGGTGAGGGGACAGCTATATACACAACCTCTGTTTCTAGACTTATTTTCAAATGAGCTCAATGACAGAGATCAAACAACACACAAAGCAACCTAAAACAGTCCAAAATATGAACTAATGAGTAACAGATCTAGCTGCAACTCTATCGCAAAACAGCATTTGACTTGGGAGAGAACATCCCTTCAGCACTAGCCCTTCCAGCCCACCCATTTCACTGTTCATCAGGCGTTTATTCACCTCCCCCAGCCAAAAGCTCCGCTCTGCTCCTGAAAGTAAAGCGCCCTGCAAACGCCTTGATCCCCAGCCAGCAGCACCAGGCTTTCCGAGGTTTCGCTCCGAAATCCTTACCAGCTTCATGGTGCTGTTGTTCTGCTCCCATCGCCACAGCATCACGCTCATGGTCCCGCCGAGCACCTGCCGGAGGAGCCGCGGCCAGGCGGTGCTACGACCCCTCGGCTACCGCGTCCTCACAGCCCGGCTGCCACCCCCCCGGGCCATCCTTGGGTTGCCCTCCTTGGGGGAGCCAGGTCGCCCATGGGGGGAGAAGTGCCGGGAAGGGTCCGGCGGGATTCCGACAGCTCGAGTGGGGAGGCAGCGCCGCGGTCCCTCCTCCCACGGCCGCCAGCAGCCTCGGCTCTTGGAGGAGGATCGCCCTTAACCCCTTCAGCCAGGGGGATCCCTCCACTCTGGCTGGACCGAGCGGGAAAACAGGCAGGATTGGTGGGGTTTTTTAAGCAAAGAGGACGAATACGGACGTGTCCAGGTGATGAAGGTGAAAGGAAGGACTTGGCAACAAAATACTTGGAAATAAAAACAGAGTTCCAAGTGAGCTGTGGGTTAAGGAAGATGCTGAAAGGTACCAGCAAATTTTAGAGCAAAACAGCAAACGACAGGGGGTTTCTCCCGAGTTTCACAACCTGACACTGTTAAGAGCTCAGCTTCTAAAGCTGGCTTGTTTTATCAGCATCAGGGCAATCTAGGCTGCTGCCACCCGGACTTGCATTTACACTTCCGTCTGCTGGATGGGAAAGGACTAGACTTGCCCTTAGTAAAAGCAAAAGGGAAAAAGAGAAGAATGTACTACCTTAAAAATGATTCGACCTGTGGAACATCACCTGTCAACTTGAGGAACATAAACTTTGCATTTCAAGAGATCAGTAAGAGTATTTAGAATATCTGTATTTAATGCCAATAAATACCAGCTTGCCACACTGTCTTTAAGATACAGCTATTAAAGATCTATGTAAATGCCAGACTATTCTGCAGCTTCTCTCTTGCATGCTTCTGAAATCTCTCGTCTGTTCCCTGAAGCATCTTGCCCTGCGCAGCAGTCTAGACGAGACACTCAACTGTGGGAAGAGTCACATCTGATCTTGCCCAAGGTCCTGCGAAATCACCAGTGGGAACGGAGCCTCACGCCAAGCACTTGGCTTGCAGCTCCTCACCCCTCTCGTCTGGAGCAGGTCCTGTGCCTGACGAAGAAGGGGTCGTGGGGGGACAGGAGAGCACAGCAGCTCGCAGCACTGGCATATCCCCATCCAGCACTCTCCAGATCTGGCTTTGGGGGGTGGTTTCTCTGGTGGCTTTGGTCTTGCCAGGCCACAAATGAATAACAGGGGACTATGGGGAGAAAAAAAAAAAGTGTTTGAAGCAATCCCCCAGGCCACCCCTTTCCCACCCTCTCTCCAAATATAAATTGTGAGTCACACGAAGATAACTTTGCTGGCTGCCAGGAGGGGAGGCAAGAAATGACCACAGGCACGACCCACATCTAACAGACCAAGAGCCTGTGAGCAGTTCCTGTCAGCCTGCTGACATTCTCTAAGTGTTAACGAGTTTAATATTCCTGTAAAAAGATAACTCCTCATACTAAAGCAACCAGCACTCTCCTTACCACTGAAGCACTGGAAGTTTCAGTCTTTAAGCGGCTGCTTCTTAGCTAAAGCGCTTGTGTCTCTTTTTCAGGACATGGTTTATGCCTGTAAAGCTTGAATCCATGATCCTGTACTCATAATGATCCTTCTTAAAGCCTTCAGCAGGTCAAAAGGAGTAAACACAACAAATTTGTTCTCACAGTGCAGCTAAGACATTAAAAAAGAAAAGGACGAAAATGTACCCAAACTGATCACTTTCTTAGGTAAAAATCCTCCTACTGTATGATTTTACTTCCTAGGCTGTTCTATGTACCCATTATTGTGTTACTGAAGAAACACATAAAACAGTAACCAGGCATTTGAAATTCTGCATATACAAATTTCCATTAAGAAAAAATGCACGCATCGCCTTACTGAAGTCCTTCCCTAACAGTTATGCTTCCGTGACTTGGATTTCACTCAAAGTCTGTAATGGTTATCCTGTTCTAATCATTTTTTTGAGTGATAAGAAAGAATAATTATCAAAACAAACTATAATCATTTTCATTTCCTGTAAAAGGAATTTCCTTACCAATATTGGTGGCCTGAATAGCTACACATAAAGAGCTGCATGTTGAAAGCACTTAAAAGACTTTATGCGTACAGGTTACATTTGAGCCATAGAAGTAAAATTTGAATCCCTTCCTGAGAATAAAGAACTCCTGTTCTTTCACTTCAGGCCAATGAGGACCAAAGCCTTAGCACAGCCAAATCTTCCCAGCCAGCCCTCCCCATAAGCAACCACCCTGCTGAAAGGTCATTCCTACAACATTCAAAAGAGGAGAAGGTCACAGCCTGTTGGAGGGCTGGAACACAAGAGGTATGGTCTTTGGGAGGGTCGCAGGCAGCCACAATAACCTGCTGACAGACCCATGAATGAATGAATGAATGAATGCACTCGGAGCGAGAAGCCTGGGTGTGACGCCAAAAGGATTTTGTAAGAGCATCTTACCAGCACCTTGGCGGCGCCGCCAGGGCCCACAGCGCTTGCTCCTCACTGAGCTTCAACGCGTCCCTTCCCCGCTGCTGACACCGTGCAAACATCACAAGGCCTTCCCATCGCTGCGCTGGCATCTGGCTAAACATCATGACTGAAAGATTGTGCTCCCCGTCCAAAACACACACCAGCTTCAGTCAAAAACACCAGGGAGCTGAAACACAAGGAGCTTTACATGTGCAGGATTACAGCCCACACAAAGGGCCACAAGAACCCGCAGCACAAGTCGGGGTAGTCTGAGACATGGCCTAAGCCTCTTAAAAGGTTGTTGATGATCTGCTCTGCCAGATCGAGCAGCCAAAGGCTTTCGTTCAACCCCCTGAAACCAGGGATTGCGAGAAGCAAAGAACAGGTCTCAGAAAATGGCAGGTTCTTGTCTACCACTGTGGGGGAAAACTCCATCCATGGGACCTTTTGATGCTGCTTTAGTGCCCAGAGAACAGGGCAGCGTGAAACCTATCCCTGAACGAGGGAGCCTGGCTACAAACACGCGAATTAAAAGACCGGGCACGGACGGAAGGCCAGCGGCTTTAATTACTCCTCAGTCAACCCGTCTTGTTTCTTTGAATGCAGTTTGCTGACTGTTTTACGTTAACTGAAGTGTGGCTCAGATTTGAGGTATTTTCTCTTTTTATCCCTTATGGGCCAACTGAACATGCTAAATACAGAGACACTCGCATCTAAATCAGTCTGAAATACTAATGAAGCAAAGCTCCTGAGGTTCAAGTGTAAGCTCTGCACCTCCCAATCACTTTTAACTTAAATGATATTCTTAATTAAAATCTGCATTACTTTTAGACACTTGCATGTAATGGACTTCCCCAAGCCAGCCTTGATTTGGGATGGAGATCCCCCGAGTTTTGATAGCGTTGCCAGGTGTAACCAGAATTTATTTCTTCCACTAAAAAGAACGACTTGGGAGCTGCCTTTCATCCTGCTATCTCTCTTTTAGGCTCCCCTGACAGAGTGAAAGAGATAAGATTGGGATTGAAGTTGGTAAAATCCATGCATGACCTCTTGGCCCCTGGCAGCATCACGGTGGGAGTTCTTCCCTGATTGCTACGCCCCGGCTTTGCTGACAGATCTGGGAGATGCCTTTCACATACAATGCCCAATTTCAAAAGAGAACAAGGATGGGATATTTGCTTGCATTTGAATTCTTTAACTGTAAAGCATTATAGCTCTCTAGAAAGCTTTATTGCTATCTCTGACAACATGTGCGTGATAGCGCAGAGATGGTATTAAGTTGAACCTACAGAAAAGGACGTTATTTACAGCTCTAATGGGCATCTAAACATCCCTGTTACAGTGCCAAACAATACGCCTGTTATTCACTAGTGAGTCTTCAATGACAGAGAAACACGTGTGTCCCCAGCATACCCCACACTCTAATGAGACAGCGTTCCAGTTCCCAACACTTCCCAAATAAAACTGTTGGGAAAACAGGAGGAAACAGGTGTGGGAGACATTATGAATGAACTTGGTGCATACAGTCATTGTCCATGCAACACTTACTATAAAGAAAGCTTGGGGAAATCCGTTCGCTAACAATCCATTGTTCGCCTACAAAAAATATGTGCTAATGGCTTGCTCTGCAATCATTAAACAAAGTCACACTCTTGTACTTACACATTACTTTTGCTTTTTAATCCCATAACACTTGGTTATGGTTTTTATTTGGATAAGGGAGCACATTGTTAGAAAACGTTATTGCCGCTCTTCAATGCATTTTGGTCAAAAATACTACAATTTTCTATTCACTGAAAGCTGGATTTTTATTTAATTTTACTAAATGCCAACAACCACTTAGGGTTTCTTTTAATGCCTTAGAAAACTGAAACGTGTACAAAAATTAAATTCCTGGTAAAAAACTCTCTAAGTTGTCAGTAACAATACTTTGCTACGCATGATGTGAGAGAGGAGACTAGCTCGAAGAATCGCAACGGGTGCTAAACAACACTTCATTCAAGAAAAGCTCTCAGAATGGTGAACAGCAGCCTCCACATTAAACTTTCTCCAAACAAGCAGATAAAATAACTTCAATTGAGTAGTGTAAGGGGACCTAATGAAGGAGTACCCCAAATGATTAACCTTCACTTTCAGCAGTTGTTGGGATGTTCTGGAGGACAGAGACAGCTCATGCTGGGTGCCAGTGTTTAAAGAGCAAGAATGAGGTGACCTTGATAGTCACAGGTCTGTCAGCCTCCCCCCAGTCCCCGAGAGAAGTACAAAATGAAGGAGAAAAACTCAATTAAATCAACAGCTGAAGCAGACAGTATTATTACTGGCAAATGAGCATCCCTCTCTGGAACACGTGTCTTGTTAAACCAGTATTTTCTGACGAGCTCACAGAGGCTTACGAAAGCGATAACGCAGATGTGGTTCTGCGAGGAGGCTCTTGCCTTCACGCCTCCTGACACACTGAAAACCAGAACAATAACAAATCAACCTGGCATACATCAGCTAGACTGAAAATGAGCTAACTGGTT